TTCTCGAATACTATTTTTCTTCGCCTTGTAATTTCGAGTTTCACAAAGTTTCGAAATTACAAAAATTGCAAAAATGTTTGAAAGAGAATTTCGAATTTTCTGGAATTTTGTCGTGGTTTTTTCCAATTCTAATATTCCTTATCCTTTTTTCAGGTGACGAAGAACGCTGTTTACTCGGCACCCGTTGCCTCAAAGAAATTCACCGGCACTCAGGTATTGAACGTGGCGGCTTACTCCCCCCCGTTAGATCAATCGTACGCCCAAGGAAGACAGCTTTTGTACACACAGGCGTACATCGCTCCGTCTCAGCCGCAATACGTTTCTCAGCTAGTGTACGCTCAACCGGCCACGATTTACATGCAAGCAACGCCGGTTTACACCGACGTTTACGCGCGTCCACCTAGCCACGATCGGGATAATTCTTTGCAAGGGAAATACGCAGCGCCGATCGAGCATACGCAGCTTGTCGATGACCTATCGAATCAAGTTCTCGGGGAGCAAAGCAGCCAGGGCGTGACTCAGAATTACGCCAAGGTTGGTATTTGATACTTGAATATTAAATGGAATTTCAATGGAGACGCGGTGCACATATATATATATAGAGTTTATGCTCGAGCTGGGCGAATTTTGCGAGACGAATCACGTAATTAATTAACGTGAACGTGAATTTTGAACGAAGAAATTATCCTTAAATCTGGAGACGAGTGTATATATATATCGTTTAATTTAATATGGAATGGAATACATTTATGGATCTTGGAAATATTATTTTCTTGAATTGGCAATTAATTATGTGCAAATATGAATCTCGAAGGAAGAAAATTTATTCGTAAAATAAATTTGGGGATGAATATTTATCATTTAAAATCATTTGCTACAGAAATACGTTTATGTATGGATTATTTCAAGTATGCTGTACGAATCTTGCAAATATTATTTTCTTGAATTGGTAATTAATTATGTAAATGTGAATCTTGAAGAAGAAAGAAAATTTATTCGTAAAATAAATCTGAATACGAATCTTATATTTTAATAATTTACTATTGAAAGGGTTAAATTTAAATAGAATTTTACACATTTTAACTACATTAAATATATGCAAATTTCCTGAATGAAAGATTTTTCTTATAAATATGCATTTTTTATAAAAGGATTCAGAAGGACCAAACACTGACTTGGTGCCACCTCAGATGCCTCCGCAGGATTTCAAATCTGGCGCCACATCTCTGTCTCCTGTCCCTGCGCAAAACGAAGAATCTATTCCTGAACAGAATCAAGTAGGTTCGTCTGAGCCCAGATCTTTGTTGGATTCGTACATTCCGAGCAAATTGATAGCAGCTCACGACTCTTCAAGGTACGAGATTAATTTCAAAAAATAATAATTCAACATCTTTCATACCTTTCTTTTTTTTTTTTAACTTACAATCGAAACGTTCGTTGCAAGAAATCAAATTTATCTTATCAAATCTTTATTACAGATATCAAGAAAGGCCTATACAATTGGAAAGAGGTTTCCTTCCATCGAAAGAAAATTTTCTGTACAAGAAGCGTAAAATCGACTAAAAAAAAAATCCATGGGAATTTTTTCTTTATCTGATAATCGACGAGCACGATGGTCAGTAGAATGAGTTATACCGTTAGCTTCGATGCAGGCGAGCAACACGATGTTCACAAGATTTCTCAACATTAATTTCGACGTCTATCTTTCTACTTTCAAGATCGTGCTGCACGATTAGAAATGTAAATTTGTCTAATTGCACGACTAAGCTTAAGTGACAATACATGCATCGTATCTTTCTACGTCGAGCCTCTTTATGGAGCATCGATATTTAAAACAATTCATGAGACGAGTGAATTCATGCCATTAATTATATTATATGTACGAGGCGTGTTAGCATCTAGTCTTTTATCGAAGATCGCTAAATCAGCGTTATTACTTATGTTTAACTTTGTTATTCTTTTCACTTTTCTATATACCCATGGGTGTACGTTTTATATACGATTTTTTTAATAATAAATTCTTAATTAAACCAATCGCTGTTCTGTATCTCATCAAATTCTGATATCAAGTTTTACAATTACGATAATTTGAAAGAAATTATTCTCGATGGTACGTAAATTAAATTTTTAAAAAGGTTACAAAGTTCAGAAGAAATAAGATTAAATATTATTTTTAATTCAAATCCTGTCTTCTTTTTTCTTTGACGTTAATTAATTCATTAGTTCACTTTCATGGATTACGAAATTAGTCACAATATCGATATCGCTTTTTCTAATAGAGATTCTTTGACATAAGACAGCAGACACACTTGTTTACGCATAAACCGCACACTGAAATGAGAAAGCGGATGCTGAAGAAGCGGTCCAATGGTGTAGGCTTTCGAAAAATTATTATTTGTCCAGAAATAATTTTCGCCCATATAAAAAATAAATAATCAAAAGAACGTATATGTATATATTATTATAAAATAATAAACAATCTATCTATATTCCCATTATATATATTATCGACACGTCGATGCAAATGACGCAATATCAAAGATATTTTCGTAATTTCAAAGATCTGTCTAGTATCATAATTAGATGAACGAAATTATGAATTGGCAAGGATATGCAAAAGCAACGATGATTAATCACGAGAAGTATTATCGTGACCTCCAACTTTCTTCGTGACGAAATATTGGATGAGCACACGTGTGCGTCTCTACGCTGCTGGCAGGTGTCTTTCCATATGTATCGAGGAACGAAGAATGTCAGTGTGTTACACCGGTGAAACTATAATCGTGGTGTCCCTCTCGCGGTTCAAGCGAAGGCATATAAGGTGGGATGTTGCTGCCACTGCTTCATCAGTTCCAAATAAACGCGAGAAGTTTAAGGTC